GGGCTAAATGACAGTCTACTGTATTACTAAAAAAGTAAAAATTATTAATTCCATTTAATTTTTTTTAAAAATATACTAAATTTTAATAATATAAATTTTAAATTGTTTTTTAAATTGTTCCCCTGTCCCTTTTTAGGGTTTACCCATATTGTAAAATTTAATTTCCCCTTTACCCTGATGAATTAAGACACATGTGCAACATCTGGGTATCTTTTTGTAGGGCCGGGTTTTGCCATCCGTGGCTTTTTCAATACAAATTTTTAGGGCATAATTGAAGGGCAGTAGAAAATATGAAGGGAAAATGAGGTTTTAAACAGTCCCTTTAACCTAGGAGTAGGGCGAAGGCACCATAGTCCGGGGGGATTCTGAAGCGAAGAAAGGTTTCCCGGCGCTTATATGTAACGTCGGGGGGTGCAGACGAGGGCAAAATTCCCCCGGGGAGGGGATTCCCCCGTGGGAAATAGGTCCTTCCCAAAGAGAGGGGGTTTGTTGTAGTAGTAGGTTTTCCCTAAATCGTGAAAGGTTTTTTGTAATGTCCTCAGAAAATTTAAAATTCCATGATGTTGCAAATGTTGACAAGTTTTTACAATGGTATAAATAACCCACAAAATGAGATTAAGGGAAAAATGTGCAACATCTTTGGGGATCTTTATTGTAGAACGTTTCGCCCTCCAGTGGCTTATTTTACAAATTTAGGACAAAAATTGAAAAACAGTAGAACTAGGTAAAAGAAATGAGGGGAATCAGTCCCTCACCCAGGAGTAGGGTTTCGAAAAGCACCCTAGTGTGGAGAATTTTTGGGAAACAAAGAACACGCCCGCATCAGGAATCTTAATTCTGAGGACATTTTATAAACCTTTTACGACTACGACAAAATCTAAATACAACTAACCCATCCTTTGGGAAGGGCCTAATTCCCCTGGGGAATCCCCCCCCACCATGAATAAAGCCCTCGTCCCGCTAAACCAACCTGAGGTTTTCTATATAAGCCCCCCAGGATCCTTTCTTCTGCTTCAGAATCTCCACGACTATGGTGCTCTTCGCACCTACTCCTAGGTTGAGGGACTGATTACCTCATCTTCTGTACATAGTTCTACTGTCTTCAAGTTATGTCCTAGAATTTGTATTGATAAAGCCACTGGATGGCGAAACGTCTACAATAAAGATACCCAGATGTTGCACATGTGTCTTAATCTCATCTTGTCGGTATTATATACCATTCGTACACCACTTGTACCATAATCTATAATAATGCCCATATAATTATCTGTTATTGCCTGTTATTGTACGTGAGTTGTTTTTAAACTGCTCCATTGAGATACTACCATATTATAAGTTAACCCAAACTGTACCACTATTTGCAATTACCTAATTTTTATAAGCTAAATTCAACACTGCATTTACTGAACTCAGATATCAAATACCCAGATACATACATAATTTTTTTTGTACCTCTGTATGTGTGCTCAAATTGTAATAAATAAATAAATAAATAAATAAATAAATAATAATCTGTTGTTGCCTTCCTAATCTTAAGTTATTATTTTTTGCCCGCAATGCTCTGCATACAAAGGGGCTTCTGGTATGTGCACCCAACTACGTATTATATTCTTTGTCCAACTATGTATTGTGTCAAAATAAAAATTGTTATTATTATTATTATTATTATTATATTATTATTTATTATTATTATTATTATTATCATACATAGTAGCATACACATATTATGTGTAGATTACCTAGGATAACCCAAAAAAGTTAGACGAAGTGACTTATTTCCATTGGGGTTCTTGCAAGACATGTCTTAGTGTGCTGCTCCACTCAAATATACATATGATAATGCCTATTTTTATTTATTTTATTTATTTTTATGTCTTTGCAAACAGTACATTGAGATTTTGTATTTACAATAGTGGGTTGCAGTGCAAAGAGAGCCTCTATTATGCCTAGGCATTATGGGCCAACTTAACATTATTGGCTTACAGACTACTTAACACTAACGATTATATCATAGCTGTACAGTAGGATAGTAATTATTTCATAGTTGTACAGTAGATTATTAATTATAAGTGAATCAAAATTTGTATAAGACAAGAGATATATTCATATAATCAAAAATACTTTTTTGTGAAATCAATGATTCAGTTATATTCCTGTCAAACAATGGATAAAAGGTTCAAAGTGATTGTTGAAGTTATGATGTGGGAGAACATAAATGAGTATTCAGCTTTTAGTCTAGCGTAATTAAGTGGCTTTTGAGAAGAATCTTAAATTGATTTTCAGACTGGGTTACTTTAATATCTTCTGGTAATGAATTCCATATTTTGGGGCCCTTTATGTGCATAGTTTTTACACAGTGTGATAAGAACACGAGGTATATCAAAAAGAGATCTGTGTCTTGTGTTGTGGTCATGTGTGGTCATGTTGTGGTCATGTTGTGGTCTTGTTGTGGTCTGTTATGCCTATGCATAACAGAGGTTCTCTTTGCATTGCAACCCACTACTGTAAATACAAAATCTCAATGTACTGTTTGTAAAGACATAAAATAAATATGTTTTAATTTTTCTTATATCTCCCAAAACAAAAATTTGTTCAGGAAATTATTATTTCATGATGTAGCTATATAGATTGTATCTACTGTATGAAAAAATTTAAACTAATGACTGAGTTCCACTTAGTAGTTGTCAGTAGCTGTTACGTTAATGTATACTTAAATCTAAATTTTGGTGTTGGATAATTCATGGTTACATTTTAAATCAGAAAACCTGTCTCTTGGATAACTCGCTCAAGTTGATAATTTGAAGTCAGTGACCACCAGACATTGACTATACTGTAGGTTATTTCTTTACTTGATTAATATAATTTATACAGTTATACTTTGCAGATGACACCCAAATCTGCATGACAGTGTCTTCCATTGCAGACACTGCAAGGCTCCAGGCGGACATCAACCAAATCTTTCAGTGGGCTGCAGAAAACAATATGAAGTTCAACGATGAGAAATTTCAATTACTCAGATATGGTAAACATGAGGAAATTAAATCTTCATCAGAGTACAAAACAAATTCTGGCCACAAAATAGAGCGAAACACCAATGTCAAAGACCTGGGAGTGATCATGTCGGAGGATCTCACCTTCAAGGACCATAACATTGTATCAATCGCATCTGCTAGAAAAATGACAGGATGGATAATGAGAACCTTCAAAACTAGGGAGGCCAAGCCCATGATGACACTCTTCAGGTCACTTGTTCTATCTAGGCTGGAATATTGCTGCACACTAACAGCACCTTTCAAGGCAGGTGAAATTGCCGACCTAGAAAATGTACAGAGAACTTTCACGGCGCGCATAACGGAGATAAAACACCTCAATTACTGGGAGCGCTTGAGGTTCCTAAACCTGTATTCCCTGGAACGCAGGAGGGAGAGATACATGATTATATACACCTGGAAAATCCTAGAGGGATTAGTACCAAACTTGCACACGAAAATCACTCACTACGAAAGCAAAAGACTTGGCAGACGATGCACCATCCCCCCAATGAAAAGCAGGGGTGTCACTAGCACGTTAAGAGACCATACAATAAGTGTCAGGGGCCCGAGACTGTTCAACTGCCTCCCAGCACACATAAGGGGGATTACCAACAGACCCCTGGCAGTCTTCAAGCTTGCACTGGACAAGCACCTAAAGTCAGTTCCTGATCAGCCGGGCTGTGGCTTGTACGTTGGTTTGCGTGCAGCCAGCAGCAACAGCCTGGTTGATGAGGCTCTGATCCACCAGGAGGCCTGGTCACAGACCGGGCCGCGGGGGCGTTGACCCCCGGAACTCTCTCCAGGTAAACTCCAGGTAATACTATACAGTTTTCCACTTCAATAATTACAAAGTGTATACATAGTATAAATTTGTACTGTATAATCATCATAGATTAATGAGTACCATTTTAAGATTTTATTCATGTTATTAACCTGGATGGTGAAAAACCCAGAATAAACAGAGAAAGAAATTCAGACCCATTTCCATTGTGGGTCCTTTGAGCCTCTTCCCCAGGATGCCATTCACAACCATTAGTTGACAACCAGATATTGTACCTACTTACTGTTAGGTGAACAGGCAATAGGTGTAAAGAAACATCTTATTGCTGCACTAAAAAGAAAAAAATATCAGTAAAGATAATATAAAGAAAGAAATGCTAGTTCATTTATTTTCATATTGGAATGACTCATGGCTCAGGAGGTAGCACCTTCAGTTCACAGCTGAAGGAAGCAAAATGAGTAGAAACGTTGGTCTTCTTCCCTTACACATATTACTACTGTTCATTTAGTAGTAAGTAGTTAGTTTTTAGCTGACTGTTGTGGGTGTCATCCTGGGGAAGAGGATCAATGGACTCCAGTAGACATAAACCATACTGACATTCTTAAGTTTATCTGGGTTACTAACACTCCAAAATAATCCTGGAGGGCTAATACCAAGCAATGGAGCTATTACCAGTAGGGTGTTTTTAGGCCCTTTCCCAGGATATATTATTATTATAATGAAGGAGGAAGCGCTAAACCCGGAGGATTATACAGCGCCTGGGGGGGGATGTGGAAGGCATTCAGGCTTAATTCGGGGAACTAGAGCACAGATCCAATTCCCTAAATCAAGAGCCCCTCACCAACATCAAGGAACCTTCCTTGAGGGGCCCAGGATATAACCCACAACAGTAGACTAATTTCTTGATATGTTTCCTGCTCAGTAATGTGCAGCACATTTTAGGAATACTACATAAATAAGATAGTATATGTGTGACACTGCAGCATGTTAATTATTATAATAAAGGGGAAGCGCTAAACCCGTAGGATTATACAGCGCCTGTGGAGGGATGTGGAAAGTATTCAGGCTTAATTCAGGGAACTAGAGCACAGATCCAATTCCCTAGATTAAGAGCCTCTCACCAACAGCATGTTAATAATAATATTACATAAAGTAAGTTTATTGAGGTATACACAGACAGATCTTACTTCCAATATTTGTTGTCTCGTCTTTACTGATGTGAGGTTCAGCGTAGGTACATGAAGAGCCAACTTCCATTGGTTCCTCATGTACACAGCTAGCATCAACAAGTTTTACATCCATTCCCTCTTGTTGTTCATCCATTTATCTCCTTCCACACACTACAGTAGAAGAGTCAGACTTCAACCTGCCGCCTTGCTGACCTAGAGGTTATAAGGTCAAGTAATACCTTAAGTTGTATCCTTCCAGCTGTACCACCAGTTTATCTCGACCAAACCTGGGACATTAAACAAAAATGAACAAGAGTTACTTTCTAAAATAGAAACATGAACTAAAAGTTTCCATTGAGATCTGGTGGATCACCTTGCCAAGCCCCAAGACAGGCTGGCTTCCACACCACACTTATGTTCATAACCGGCTGCCCACTAAAACCGTTAAATTATCCTAAGAGCGGGGAAAAATCACCTGAATAAAATGATAACAGCTGATTAATACATATTTTGTATGTTTTATGTATTATATACTGTATTCTTACTGTATTATATACTGTATTCTTACTGTATTATATACTGTATTCTTACTGTATTATATACTGTATTTTTACTGTATTATATACTGTATTCTTACTGTATTATATACTGTATTCTTACTGTATTATATACTGTATTCTTACTGTATTATATACTGTATTCTTACTGTATTATATACTGTATTCTTACTGTATTATATACTGTATTCTTACTGTATTATATACTGTATTCTTACTGTATTATATACTGTATCCTTACTATATTATATACTGTATTCTTACTGTATTATATACTGTATTATATACTGTATTCTTACTGTATTATATACTATATTATATACTGTATTCTTATTGTATTATATACTCTATTCTTACTGTATTATATACTGTATTCTTACTGTATTATATACTCTATTCTTACTGTATTATATACTGTATTCTTACTGTATTATATACTGTATTCTTACTGTATTATATACTGTATTCTTACAGTAAAGTAAGCAAGAGAAATCAAAATGTTATTAAGTGTTATTATTAACATTAAACATCAAAAATGAAAAGATAATGTGAAAAAGAAATTCACTGATTTATGATTTAATATTATATGTTTAGGTTAGAACCGTCCTGGGGACCCTCATCCTCAGAGAAAAGAATAAACTTGTTTCAGGGAAAAATCAAGGTTCTCCCTGAAGCTGTTTGAAAATTTTCTCCTACCTATTTTTTTAGCTAACATACGTGTAAATTTTACCATATTACTAGTAATGACCCTCGTATTGTAGATAGTCTTAATGACCTTGGTGTAGTAGATAGTCTTTTTAGTATGATAATAAGGTGTTATCTTCATTGTAGAATAATAAGAACATATTATAACCTTTATATTATAATAATAAGGTAAAAGGACCCCAATGGAAATAAGTCACTGTGTCTGACTTTTTTGGGTTATCCCAGGTTCTCTACACATATGCTGCTATGTATGATAATTCTATGTAACTGTATTTGTGTATACCTGAATAAACTTACTTACTTACTTACTTACTTACTTACCACCCCGGAGATAAAACACCTCAATTACTGGGAGCGCTTGAAGTTCCTAAACCTGTACTCCCTGGAACGCAGGCGGGAGAGATACATGATTATATACACCTGGAAAATCCTAGAGGGACTAGTACCGAACTTGCACACGAAAATCACTCACTACGAAAGCAAAAGACTTGGCAGACGATGCAACATCCCCCCAATGAAAAGCAGGGGTGTCACTAGCACGTTAAGAGACCATACAATAAGTGTCAGGGGCCCGAGACTGTTCAACTGCCTCCCAGCATAAATAAGGGGGATTACCAACAGACCCCTGGCAGTCTTCAAGCTGGCACTGGACAAGCACCTAAAGTCGGTTCCTGATCAGCCGGGCTGTGGCTCGTACGTTGGTTTGCGTGCAGCCAGCAGCAACAGCCTGGTTGATCAGGCTCTGATCCACCAGGAGGCCTGGTCACAGACCGGGCCGCGGGGGCGTTGACCCCCGGAGCTCTCTCCAGGTAAACTCCAGGTAATCATATAACTGCTGCAGCATACGGGCGCCTGGCATACCTACGGATAGCGTTCCGATACCTCAGTAAGGATTCGTTTAAGACTCTGTATACCATTTACGTCAGGCCCATACTGGAGTATGCAGCACCAGTTTGGAATCCACACCTAGTCAAGCACGTCAAGAAATTAAAGAAAGTGCAAAGGTTTGCAACAAGACTAGTCCCAGAGCTACGGGGATTGTCCTACGAAGAAAGGTTGAGGGAAATCGGCCTGACGACACTGGAGGACAGGAGGGTCAGGGGAGACATAATAACGACATATAAAATACTGCACGGAATAGACAAGGTGGACAAAGACGGGATGTTCCAGAGAAGGGACACAGACACAAGAGGTCACAATTGGAAGTTGAAGACTCAGATGAATCAAAGGGATGTTAGGAAGCATTTCTTCAGTCATAGAGTAGTCAGGCCGTGGAATAGCCTAGAAAGTGACGTAGTGGAGGCGGGAACCATACATAGTTTTAAGGCGAGGTATGATAGAGCTCATGGGGCTGGGAGAGAGAGGACCTAGTAGCAATCAGCGAAGAGGCAGGGCCAGGAGCTGTGACTCGACCCCTGCAACCACAAATAGGTGAGTACAAATAGGTGAGTACACACACACACACACACACACACACACACACACACGTACTCATATAAGAAGGGAGGCCCAACGTCAAAATGAAAACGACATAGCAGCAAAAGCCAAATCTGACCCGAAGCTGTTATACAGCCACATCAGGAAGAAAACAACCGTCAAGGACCAGGTAATCAGGCTAAGGAAGGAAGGAGGAGAGACAACAAGAAATGACCGTGAAGTATGTGAGGAACTCAACAAGAGATTCAAAGAAGTGTTCACAGAGGAGACAGAAGGGGCTCCAGAAAGACGGAGAGGTGGGGTACACCACCATGTGCTGGACACAGTACACACAACCGAGGAAGAAGTGAAGAGGCTTCTGAGTGAGCTAGATACCTCAAAGGCAATGGGGCCAGATAACATCTCTCCATGAGTCCTGAGAGATAAGATAAGATAAGATAAGATTTCGTTCGGATTTTTAACCCCGGAGGGTTAGCCACCAGGATAACCCAAGAAAGTCAGTGCATCATCGAGGACTGTCTAACTTATTTCCATTGGGGTCCTTAATCTTGTCCCCCAGGATGCGACCCACACCAGTCGACTAACACCCGGGTACCTATTTGCTGCTAGGTGAACAGGACAACAGGTGTAAGGAAACGTGTCGAAATGTTTCCACCCGCCGGGAATCGAACCCGGGCCCTCCGTGTGTGAAGCGGGAGCTTTAGCCACCAGGCCAGAGGCGCTACGTGTACCCCTAACAACAATATTCAATACATCTATCGAAACAGGGAGATTGCCTGAGGCATGGAAGACAGCAAATGTGGTCCCAATCTTTAAAAAAGGAGACAGACATGAAGCACTAAACTACAGACCAGTGTCACTGACATGTATAGCATGCAAAATCATGGAAAAAAATTGTCAGGAGAAGAATGGTGGAACATCTAGAAAGGAATGACCTCATCACCAGCAGCCAACATGGTTTCAGAGACGGGAAATCCTGTGTCACAAACCTACTGGAGTTCTATGACATGGTGACAGCAGTAAGACAAGAGAGAGAGAGAGGGGTGGGTGGATTGCATTTTCTTGGACTGCAAGAAGGCGTTTGACACAGTACCACACAAGAGATTAGTGCAAAAACTGGAGGACCAAGCAGGAATAACAGGGAAGGCACTGCAATGGATCAGGGAATACTTGTCAGGAAGACAGCAGCGAGTAATGGTACATGGTGAGGTGTCAGAGTGGGCACCTGTGACCAGCGGGGTCCCACAGGGGTCAGTCCTAGGACCAGTGCTGTTTCTGGTATTTGTGAACGACATGACGGAAGGAATAAACTCCGAGGTGTCCCTGTTTGCAGATGACGTGAAGTTGATGAGAAGAGTTCATTCGATCAAAGACCAGGCAGAAATACAAAGGGATCTGGACAGGCTGCAGACCTGGTCCAGCAACTGGCTCCTGGAGTTCAATCCCACCAAGTGCAAAGTCATGAAGATTGGGGAAGGGCAAAGAAGACCGCAGACGGAGTACAGTCTAGGGGGCCAGAGACTACAAACATCACTCAAGGAAAAAGATCTTGGGGTGAGTATAAAACCAGGCACATCTCCTGAAGCGCACATCAACCAAATAACTGCTGCAGCATATGGGCGCCTGGCAAACCTCTGAACAGCATTCCGACATCTTAATAAGGAATCGTTCAGGACCGTGTACACCGTGTAAGTTAGGCCCATATTGGAGTATGCGGCACCAGTTTGGAACCCACACCTAGCCAAGCATGTAAAGAAACTAGAGAAAGTGCAAAGGTTTGCAACAAGACTAGTCCCAGAGTTAAGAGGTATGTCCTATGAGGAGAGGTTAAGGGAAATCAACCTGACGACACTGGCGGACAGGAGAGATAGGGGGGACATGATAACGACTTACAAAATACTGAGAGGAATTGACAAGGTGGACAAAGACAGGATGTTCCAGAGACTGGACACAACAACACGGGGGCACAATTGGAAGCTGAAGACACAGATGAATCAAAGGGATGTTAGGAAGTATTTCTTCAGCCACAGAGTAGTCAGGAAGTGGAATAGTTTGGGAAGCGATGTAGTGGAGGCAGGATCCATACATAGCTTTAAGCAGAGGTACGATAAAGCTCATGGTTCAGGGAGAGTGACCTAGTAGCGACCAGTGAAGAGGCGGGGCCAGGAACTTGGAATCGACCCCTGCAACATCAACTAGGTGAGTACATGGTAATGCATTATTTACAGCTAGCAAAGTCAGGGTATTTCTCCAGAATGGTCTGTAATATACCACTGTGGATAAAATACTTTGCCATTTCTTGAACATTTCTGAGTGAGTTGTTTCTAAATTCATTAATTTTATCACACTCCAGTACATAATGACGCAGGGTGTGACAATAGTCCATCTGGCAAAGTTTACATTTCGTTTGGTCTACATCCATTCCCCAATGGAAATAAGTCACTCTGACTTTTTTGGGTTATCCTAGGTTCTCTACACATATGCTGCTATGTATGATAATTCTATGTAACTGTATTGTGTATACCTGAATAAACTTACTTACTTACTTACTTACTTACTTAATCTGGTGGTGGTGATTTAGTCTGCCATAGATACTTGTAACCCAGCCAGAGCTGGGCGGTAGTGACATCCAAGAGTCTGCTTATCTTGTTGGATGCACCATAGACATGTGGCTCCTCCTGCATAATGGAATGATGATAGATGGACTGACTTGTGTGAATCTCCCTAAGTCTTAAGTCAATAAAGTTCTTTTCGTATTATTGCTCTCAAACTGCTAACTGACAACCCAAGATTGTAATCTACCCTCTCTTGGAAAACATACAGCTTAGCCAATTTATCAGTTTTATCATGCATCCGAAAACCAATGTGTGATGGAATCCACAGCATGTGCACTCTGACTCCACTGTCCACAATCTTACCATACCTATGTCTGGCTTCTGACACAAGCATGCCACAATTTATACTTAATGAGTTGAGAGCATTTATGGATGACAGAGAATCAGTTACAGTTAGTGTCAACCTTAGATACATGGATACATTTGAGTGCAAGAGGTATGGCAAACAGTTCTGTTTGAAGGGTACCTGGAGTTTACCTGGAGAGAGTTTCGGGGGTCAACGCCCCCGCGGCCCGGTCTGTGACCAGGCCTCCTGGTGGATCAGCGCCTGATCAACCAGGCTGTTGCTGCTGGCTGCACGCAAACCAACGTACGAGCCACAGCCCGGCTGATCAGGAACTGACTTTAGTTGCTTGTCCAGTGCCAGCTTGAAGACTGCCAGGGGTCTGTTGGTAATCCCCCTTATGTGTGCTGGGAGGCAGTTGAACAGTCTCGGGCCCCTGACACTTATTGTATGGTCTCTTAACGTGCTAGTGACACCCCTGCTTTTCATTGGGGGGATGGTGCATCGTCTGCCAAGTCTTTTGCTTTCGTAGTGAGTGATTTTCGTGTGCAAGTTTGGTACTAGTCCCTCTAGGATTTTCCAGGTGTATATAATCATGTATCTCTCCCTCCTGCGTTCCAGGGAATACAGGTTTAGAAACCTCAAGCGCTCCCAGTAATTGAGGTGTTTTATCTCCGTTATGCGCGCCGTGAAAGTTCTCTGTACATTTTCTAGGTCGGCAATTTCACCTGCCTTGAAAGGTGCTGTTAGAGTGCAGCAATATTCCAGCCTAGATAGAACAAGTGACCTGAAGAGTGTCATCATGGGCTTGGCCTCCTAGTTTTGAAGGTTCTCATTATCCATCCTGTCATTTTTCTTTGCAGATGCGATTGATACAATGTTTTTGGTCCTTGAAGGTGAGATCCTCCGACATAATCACTCCTAGGTCTTTGACGTTGGTGTTTCGCTCTATTTTGTGGCCAGAATTTGTTTTGTACTCTGATGAAGATTTAATTTCCTCATGTTTACCATATCTGAGTAATTGAAATTTCTCATCGTTGAACTTCATATTGTTTTCTGCAGCCCACTGAAAGATTTGGTTGATGTCCGCCTGGAGCCTTTCAGTGTCTGCAATGGAAGACACTGTCATGCAGATTCGGGTGTCATCTGCAAAGGAAGACACGGTGCTGTGGCTGACATCCTTGTCTATGTCGGATATGAGGATGAGGAACAAGATGGGAGCTAGTACTGTGCCTTGTGGGACAGAGCTTTTCACCGTAGCTGCCTCGGACTTTACTCTGTTGACGACTACTCTCTGTGTTCTGTTAGTGAGGAAATTATAGATCCATCGACCGACTTTTCCTGTTATTCCTTTAGCGCGCATTTTGTGCGCTATTACGCCATGGTCACACTTGTCGAAGGCTTTTGCAAAGTCTGTAATATATTACATCTGCATTCTTTTTGTCTTCTAGTGCATTTAGGACCTTGTCGTAGTGATCCAGTAGTTGAGACAGACAGGAGCGACCTGTTCTAAACCCATGTTGCCCTGGGTTGTGTAACTGATGGGTTTCTAGATGGGTGGTGATCTTGCTTCTTAGGACCCTTTCAAAGATTTTTATGATATGGGATGTTAGTGCTATTGGTCTGTAGTTCTTTGCTGTTGCTTTACTGCCCCCTTTGTGGAGTGGGGCTATGTCTGTTGTTTTTAGTAACTGAGGGACGACCCCCGTGTCCATGCTCCCTCTCCATAGGATGGAAAAGGCTCGTGATAGGGGCTTCTTGCAGTTCTTGATGAACACAGAGTTCCATGAGTCTGGCCCTGGGGCAGAGTGCATGGGCATGTCATTTATCGCCTGTTCGAAGTCATTTGGCGTCAGGATAACATCGGATAGGCTTGTGTTAGTCAAATTTTGTGGCTCTCTCATAAAAAATTCATTTTGGTCTTCGACTCTCAGTCTGGTTAGCGGCTTGCTAAAAACTGAGTCATATTGGGACTTGAGTAGCTCACTCATTTCCTTGCTGTCATCTGTGTAGGACCCATCTTGTTTAAGTAGGGGCCCAATACTGGACGTTGTTCTCGATTTGATTTGGCATAGGAGAAGAAATACTTTGGGTTTCTTTCGATTTCATTTATGGCTTTTAGTTCTTCCCGCGATTCCTGACTCCTAAAGGATTCTTTTAGCTTAAGTTCGATGCTTGCTATTTCTCTGACCAGTGTCTCCCTGCGCATTTCAGATATATTGACCTCTTTTAGCCGCTCTGTTATTCTTTTCCGTCGCCTGTAAAGGGAGCGCCTGTCTCTTTCTATTTTACATCTACTCCTCCTTTTTCTTAGAGGAATAAGCCTTGTGCATACATCGAGTGCCACCGAGTTAATCTGTTCTAGGCATAAGTTTGGGTCTGTGTTGCTTAGTATATCTTCCCAGCTTATATCGGTTAGGACTTGGTTTACTTGGTCCCACTTTATGTTTTTGTTATTGAAGTTGAATTTGGTGAATGCTCCCTCGTGACTAGTCTCATTTTGTCGGTCTGGGGCTCCATGCATACATGTCTGAACCTCAATTATGTTGTGGTGTAGAGGCCCAGTTATTGATACGTGTTCTAATTTCTTTATGAGAGCCATCACTCTATGACAACAGCAGCACTACCAGCTGCACCAGTGGACTGGTGAACAGAACCATCAGCGTAAATAATTTGTGAAAGAGTGTTCTGTATGACTGTTATCAATACAGGTTAAGGCATCGTGTTTGGCTTGAAGACGAAGCTTTGGTTGTGATTTAAGAAAAGTTTTGGGGGGAAATGGAGGAATAGTAGTTTGGAATGGGGTAATATCCCATGGAGCAGGGAAGTGTGTCTGTTGCCTAACTTGACATAGATCATGTAGCTGGTTCATGCGGAGGTCGGTTCCAGTTTTTTCGATCCATCAGGATGTTCACCAGTGCTGAGGAAAGTTTGGAGGGCTTCTGTGCAGGAGTTTGAATGTGCTAACCTAAGCACATTGACCCCAATAAGGATATTTCTCCGTAGTAGTATTGAGGAAAAAACAGTTGATGGTAGTAGTGTATATGAGCGCCATCTATGGTAGTAGTGTTGAGGTGCCTCAGACATATAAACTACTAGTGTATGTTACTATTATCACTTATATACACTACTCAACACACAACAATGACGCCTATACAGTGGCTGGCAGTACCTACTGAAATAAGATTACCCAACTTAGTGAACTCCCCGGCTGATAATCTTGACTCAAATACTATATATTTGAATGGCAAGAAAGTTATTATTAAGGAAGAAGAATGTGATGACTCTATTTGTAGTGAGGATGGTAACAGCTCCAGTATGTATATCTATCCTGTGGTAAGTACTTCTATATATCATGTTCAATTAAATAAATATTATGTCGTAATAAAGTTGGTAGAATTACCGACAATATGTAAAGTAAAAGGACACAAGTGCAACTAATGTGGAGAGCGAAACGTTGCCACAATAAAATGTCACATTAGTTGCACTTGTGTCCTTTTACTTTACAAATATTATGTCAAACACAAGGTTGCTATCATAACTTGTATATTTTATCTTTGACAACAATCTCTCACACTTAAACAAGAAATAATAATAATACTCAGACACAAACTTACATAAATATTTGTTTCACCTTTAATTTGAAATCTCATCCAAAGGATCATAATTGTATGATAATTGTTCTTTAATATACCAATACCTAAATAAACTTGATTAAGCTTTTCCATGAAGTATCAGTTAAGGGATAAAAACATTATTGTAGCTAGGGAAAGCGTTAAAGCTGTATGGGTTTTGTTTTAGATATTACCACAACCACAGAATTTCTCTGATTAATTAGGCACAGGTAAAGAATCTTTCCTCCGTAAGCCATGCGTGTCGTATGAGGCGACTAAAATGCCGGGAGCAATGGGCTAGTAACCCCTTCTCCTGTATACAATTACTAAAAAAGAGAAGAAGAAAAACTTTATAAAACTGGGTTGCTTAAATGTGCGTGGATGTAGTGCGGATGACAAGAAACAGATGATTGCTGATGTTATGAATGAAAAGAAGTTGGATGTCCTCCCCTAAGCGAAACAAAGCTGAAGGGGGGGATTTTTCAGGGGGGGGGAAATAAAGGGATTAAATCTGGAGTATTAGAGAGTTTAGAGAAAAAGGGAAGGGTAGCAGAATTTAAATGACAGTTATGGAAGAGAAAAAGAATATAAAGTGTAAATTCAAGAATTTGGGATTAAAGTAAAGGTTGGATCAGAATGGGTCAAAATAAGCTGTATGCACCGGGGAGAAAAAGGGGAATGCAGGGGAGGAGAAGTTTTTGGGGAAGTAAGTGAATGATAGGAGCCTTAAACCAAGTGAAGAGTAATTGGGGTAGGGACTTGAAGCTAAAGTGGGAAAACTTTTAGAGAGGGTGGGGTGGGAAAATTTGGGGGGCCAGGTGTAAATGAAAGGGGAGCCCTTTGTTTGAACTTTGTTAAAAAGGGGTTTTTAGTTATGGGTAATACATTTTAAGAAAAAGAGGATAAAAAATATACACGATATATGTGGGCGAAATGACAGTAGTTTGTTGGATTTTTATGGTAATAAAACGTTGAGTAACTTCAGGATTACATGTTTATAGAGGGGCCACTTTTAATCAGACACTTTCTAGTTTTAGCTACACGAATAAAAGAAAAAAGGGATACAAGAAAATAAAAGTATCGGGAAGAGAGGGGGAAGGGTTTAAAACAAAAAGAGGAGGCATTAGGGTAAATAAAACAGCTATTGGGGGAAGAGGGGCTAATGAGAGCATAGGAAATGGGGTCGAAGGGGTAGGGGGTTTTTTTAAAAATGTATGTTAGAGTGTTCGCAGAATTTGGGGTTAAAAAAGGGGGTGCAGGGGGGGAAGGGAGCGTTTGGGTGGAATGATGATGAAAAAGAGAGTAGTAAGGGAAAAAAGTTAGCAATGAAAGTTTTTACAAAGAAAAGTTGCAGGAGGGAAGATATAGGAAAAAAAAGAGAAAGTTAAGAGAGTGGTAAGCAATGTAAAAAGAGAAAAAGGAGAGTGGGTGAGATGTTATCAACAAATTTTTTGAAAATAAAAAAAAAAGTTTTGGATGAGTTAACAAGTTAAGAAAGCCAGAAACAAATGGATTTGTCAGTTAAAAATAGGAGAGGAAGTTATTAAAGGGAGAGTTAGGGGTTTTGGGAAGAGGGAAAGGGAATTTTTTTGGTTTGTTAAATGTTATGAAGTGGGGAAAGCTGTATTTCGTGTTAGGGCAAGGGGGAAAAAACCCTCTTGTAGGAGTGGGGAAACCCGTTTATGGGGGGGAAGTTCGTGGGGCAGAGGGAAAATAAAAGGGGGGAAGGCACCCGGGGATTGATGGATAAAGAAGAAAGTTAAAAGCAGGGGGGGATATATTTTGGAGTGTTGGGGCAAATTTAAATAAAGAAAGGAAGGGGGAAAGGTACCTAGGATTGGCAGAGACATGCATAGTTCCTTTGTAAAAGAAAAGGGGGAAAAAGAGAGTGCAAAAATTAAGGGGGGAAAGTTTTTTGAGTGTACCGGGTAAATGAATGGTAGATTTAAATTGAAAAAATTTAAAGTAAACGGAGAAAAGGAAGCAGATGAACAAGGAGGTTTTGGGAAAAGGTAGGGGGTGGTGGACCGGGTTTTACAGTGAAACATAAAGTGAAGTATTTAGATAAGGCAAAAGGTTTTTTGGGGCATTTATGGTTTTAAAAAAGGCATATGACAGGGGGAAAGGGGGGGGCAAGTGGCAAATTTTTGTTGCAAGTGTATGGTGTGGGAGGTGGGTTACTGAAAGCAGTGGGGGTTTTTACGGAAGGAGGCTCAAGTTAGAGTATGTAGGAAAAAAAATTTTTTTCCCCGTAAAAGTGGGCCCTTAGAAAAGGGAGGGATGTCACCGGGGTTGTTTAATATATTTAAGATGGGGTTGTAAGAGAAGTAAATGCAGGGTCTTGGGAAGAGGCGGGAGTTAAAAAAAAAAATCAACAAAAAAGTGGGGGTTGTCACAGCTCTCTTTGCTGATGACACTGTGCTCTTGGAGTTCTGAAGAAATTCAGAGATGGGGATGAATTTGGGAGGGGTGCAAAAGAAGAAAATTAAAGGTGAAAACAGGGAAAAAGTAAAGGTTTTTGAGGGTAAAAAAAGATTTGGGGGTGAAAGATTGAATATCAAATTGGGGGGAAGAGTATGGGGAGGTGAATGTATTTGATATTTGGGAGTGGACGGGCCCCGGATGGGTTATGAAAGTGAGGGGAACATAGAATTGATGAGGGAAAAAGAGTGATGGTGCACTAGGGGTCTTGGAGACAAAAAACTTTTTTCCCTTGAGGCAAAGGGGGAATGTAGAGAATATTTTACCAAACCCCTTTTAAGGGGGTGAAACGGGTGATGAATGTTGCAGCGAGGAGAAGGGGGAGGCAGTGGGGATGTCATGTCGAGGGCAAAAGTGTGGGTGAATTAAGCAGAGAATTCGTATTTGGGGAAATTAGGAGGAGGTGCGGGATTTCCCAAAACTGTTGTCCAGAGGCTGAGGGAAGGTTGTTGAGGGTTTTCGGACATGTAAAAGAAAAGGGGCGAAAAAAATTCTTCAAGAGTGTATCAGTCGTAGTGGAAGGGAAGGGGGGGTAGGGGGCGGCCTAGGAAGGGTTGGGGGAGGGGAAAAAGGGTTTTGGGCGAGGGCTTGGACTTCCCCGGGGCGGGGCGGTTTTTATAGGAGTGAATGGAGACAAATGGTTTTTAAAAACTTATGCTGTTGGAGTGTGAGCAAAGTAACTTTAGAAGGGGTTCAGGGGAAAACCGCAGGGGGGATTGATCCCGGAAGGGAATACAGTGCCTGCACTCTGAAGGGGGGGTGTTAATGTTCAGTTAAAAACGTAGGGAAAGCCCCTTTTGGCAAGACAGTGTGGATGAATGATGGGGAAAGTTTTTTTGGGCCAACCCTGCCTTGGTGGGAAAAGGCCCGGGGATAATAAAAAAAAAAAAACAATTATTATAAATAGTGTAAATTTCTAGTTTTTTTTTGGGGTTTTCCAGATAATTAATTTTGTATTATAATTGGATTTTGTAACTGTGCCAAATAAACTTAATCAAGATAAATCCTGTTTTTGCAGTAATTCAAACAAAATCCATATAGCTTTTAAAAAACTTTCCTTAAACCGGGGTATACCCGGAGGGGGTTCCAGGGGGCATTCCCGCTGCCTGGGCCATACCTGGCCTTTTGGTGGATCAGGGTCGATCAACCATGCTGTTACTGCTGGGTGCACATAAACGACATATAAACCACCCCGCCCCTGGCTGATCATGTACTGACTTTTGGTGTCTGCCAGCAGCACCTTGAAACAGCCCGGGGGCAGATAAGAAAGGTTTTTTTTTGGGTTTTTTAAAAACCCCGGAGGGTTAGCCACCCCGATAACCCAAAAAAAGTCAATCATCATCGAGGACTCTCCTTATTTCCATTGGGTCCTCGTCTTGTCCCCCCCGGGTGCGGCCCACACCACCAACACCCAATACCTATTTGCGCTAGGTGAACAGGGCAACAGATGTAAGGAAACACATCAAATTGTTTCCACCCCACTGGGAATTGAACCCGGGCCCCCCGCCTGTGAAGCAAAAGCTTTGCCAGCCAGGCCACAAGGTCCGTTGGTAATCCCCCTTTGTGTATGCTGGGAGGCAGTTGAACAGTCTTGGGCCCCTGACACTTATTATGTTGTCTCTTATCATACTCGTGGCAAACCCGCTTTTTAAGGGGAATGTTGCATCTCCTGCCAAGTCTTTTGCTTTTGTAGGGAGGGATTTTTGTGTGTAGATTTTGGGACTAGTACCACAATAATTTTCTTTTTTACCACTTAATTGATAGTTCATGGTAAACTTTGAATAAGTTTATTTAGGTACAGGTACACGTAAGTACAGTTATCATACATAGTTTAACATGTGTAAATTACCTAGAAACCTAGAAAATTCAGAGTGACTAACTATTTCCATTGCTTGAATGTGAAGGCAGGCGAACCTACCAATGTTTCCAAGTCATCAGTCAATAATGAGTAGTCTTCCTTATATTTCTATAGGCAAAATTTTCTCCCCTATTAAATTTAGTAAGTTATTGGCAAACACTAATCTGAACCAAAACTAAATTTTAAATTATGCTGCTAGAAAAATAATAGGATAGATAATGAGCATCTTCAAAATTAGGGAAACCAAGCCAGTGATAAGATAAGATAAGATTTCGTTCGGATTTTTAACCCCGGAGGGTTAGCCACCCAGGATAACCCAAGAACGTCAGTGCGTCATCGAGGACTGTCTAACTTATTTCCATTGGGGTCCTTAATCTTGTCCC